ACGGTAGGGTTATTTTGAAAGAATTAAAGGTAAGACAAAATGTAGAATTGCGGATGAGCAAGGAGGCTTCAGAGTGGGTAGGATGTGTAGATCAAGTGTTACATTGAAGCATATATGTGAACAGAATTTAGATAAAGGTAGGGAAGTTTCATTGCATTTATGGATTCAGAAAAGGCATATGATAGAGTGGATAGGGAAGCAATGTGGCAGATGTTACAAGTATATGGAATAGGTGGTAAGTTACTAAATGCTGTAAAGAGTTTTTATGAGGATAGTGAGGCTCAGGTTAGGGTGTGTAGAAGAGAGGGAGACTTCTTCCCAGTAAAAGTAGGTCTTAGACAGATATGTGTAATGTCACCATGGTTGTTTAATGTATTTATGGATGGGGTTGTAAAAGAAGTAAATGCTAGGGTGTTCGGGAGAGGGGTGGGATTAAATTATGGGGAATTAAATACAAAATGAGAAGTGACGCAGTTACTTTTTGCTGATGATACTGTGCTTATGGGAGATTCTAAAAAAAATTGCAAAGGTTAGTGGACGAATTTGGGAGTTTGTGTAAGGTTAGAAAGTTGAAAGTGAACATAGAAAAGAGTAAGGTGATGAGAGTATCAAATGATTTAGATAAAGAAAAATTGGATATCAAATTGGGGAGGAGGAGTATGGAAGAAGTGAATGTTTTCAGATATTTGGGAGTTGACGTGTCAGCGGATGGATTTATGAAGGATGAGGTTAATCATAGAATTGATGAAGGAAAAAAGGTGAGTGGTGCATTGAGATATATGTGGAGGCAAAAAATGTTTTGTATGGAGGCAAAGAAGAGAATGTATGAAAGTATAGTAGTATCAACACTCTTATATGGGTATGAAGCTTGGGTTGTAAATACTGCAGCGAGGAGGCGGTTGGAGGCAGTGGAGATGTCCTGTCTAGGGCAATGTGTGGTGTAAATATTATGCAGAAAATTCGGAGTGTGGAAATTAGGAGAAGGTGTGGAGTTAATAAAAGTATTAGTCAGAGGGCTGAAGAGGGGTTGTTGAGGTGGTTTGGTCATTTAGAGAGAATGGATCAAAGTAGAATGACATGGAGAGCATTTAAATCTGTAGGGGAAGGAAGGCGGGGTAGGGGTCGTCCTCAAAAAGGTTGGAGGGAGGGGGTAAAGGAGGTGTGGGCAAGGGGTTTGGACTTCCAGCAAACGTGCATGAGCGTGTTAGATAGGAGTGAATGGAGACAAATGGTATTTGGGACATGACGAGCTGTTGGAGTGTGAGCAGGGTAATATTTAATGAAGGGATTCAGGGAAACCGGTTATTTTAAATAACCGGACTTGAGTCCTGGAAATGGGAAGTACAATGCCTGCACTCTAAAGGAGGGGTATGGGATATGGCAGTTTGGAGGGATATGTTGTGTATTTTTATACGTATATACTTCTAATCTGTTGTATTTTGGGCACCTCTGAAAAAACAGTGATTATGTGTGAGTGAGGTGAAATTGTTGAATGATGAAAGTATTTTTTGGGGGGATTTTCTTTCTTTTTGGATCACCCTGCCTCAGTGGGACACGGCCGACTTGTTGTAAAAAAAGAAAAAAGAAAAAATACACTATACACACACACACACACACACACACACACACACACACACACACACACACACAACACACACACACACACACACACACCACACACACACACACACACACAACTATATATATATATATATATATATATATATATATATAATATAATATACATATATATATATATATATATATATATATATATATATATATATATATATATATATAATATATATATATATGTATATGTCGTGCCGAATATGTAAAACTGGTCAATTAGCAAGAACTCATGTAAAAGTAAGTCCTTTCTGAAATTTTCTCTTATACGTTTAAGGATATATTTTTTTCATTAATGTTAATGTAAATTTTTTTAATTTTGCACCAAAAAGATCTTAGAAAACTTTCCTAACCTTATTATAACAAAAGCAATTTATTTTAGCCTAACCCAACTATATACATTTTAGATTTGTTTACAATAATTTAATACTAAACAAACACAGTGAAATATATTTTTTTCGTTAGGTTCAGAATGATTTTAGGGAAATTATTGCATACCCAAATTTTCACTTTTCCTATATGGCAAGATGAACGTTGCTATTTAAGCCAAGATCGCAAGTTCTGCCTATTCGGCACGACATATATTATATATATATATATATTATATATATATATATATATATTATATCTATATTATATATATATTATATATATATATTATTATACATATATATTACATTACATATATATATTTATATATATATATATATATATATTATATATATATAATATATATATATATTATATATACATACATATATATATATATATATATATATATATATATATATATATTATATATATATATATCTAATATATATATATATATATAATTATATATATATATATACAATTATTAATGAGCCATTAA